ATGACGGAGTTTTGAATAATTTAAGGAATTAAATATTTCCTATTACATTTGATTATATTTTCATTTATTTATTAGACAGATCACATCCAAAACTACCGGATCGATAGTTGTCAAGTTTTAATGTATGTAAGAAATACCTTGTAAATGGTAAAAGACTAACCAAACGTTGTCTATTCATCTCCACGAACAATTTGGTGACATCCCTTCCAAATTTTGTTGGAAAACGTTACTTAAGTTTTTTAAAATAACAAAATTCTATACTTGTGGTTTATGAATCCGCTTTGGCTCATGACTCATCGATCACACTTTTTTTATTGATTTAATCAAGAACGATTTCGCCCACTTTCTCGAAAATTTAACAATACAGTAATGTTGTACTCGCCGGTATTTAATAATAAAAAAATAAGCGCTGTTATAATAATACTACTTGTCCAAAATAATATTGGGGCCGTTTTGCTTTGAGGAGACAATCAAAATCATTCGAATCAGGCATTAAACAATCGGAGTTAAGCATGTATTGATAATATATTTTCCGTTCGTTATCTGCTTTAAATATATGTATTTGACTTATCGGTACCAGTGCGGACTGCATTTTCCGTGGCGTAAGGACTGTGAGAGTGTCATAAAAATACATAATATTCGTTTTTTTTTCGAAGAAGCTGTGTTTTGCCTGTTGCGGTTTCCTCGTTTGCAGTATCTCTAGTCTGTTTTTTCGCCATATTTCGTTGTTTTTTATTTGCTTTTGTTAACATTCGCTTTCGTTTCTCCTTTTTCTTTTCTTGCAGCAGAAATTTATTGTGTTGTTAATTTGTTTTTCTCGCTTCTAAAAGCTTTCACATCTTTTGCTGCGAAATCCTTGCTGTCTGCAGTAAGTTCTGTTTTTTTACGTCGGGTTTCGTGGTTTCGTTGTCTTGATCATTATTTAAAATATCTTTTTTCTTTAAGTTTAGTTTCGATGTTCTTAAGCATTTCCAATTTTTATTAACGATAAATTAATTCAGACATTATCCAACTTTGAAATTTGGTCCACAGATTTTATGGACGTCGTTTATAACTAATTTATTAATAGTTTTTCCGAGTTTAGAATCGATTTCCTCTATATCGTTCTATACTTGGATTATTCTAAAAATTGACTTTTCTATGTAAAAACGAAATTTCCTCGTGTAAGTTTCGTTTGTGATTTAGAGATTTTTCTAAAACATTAATGGCGCTGTTAAAATCTATTTTAAATTCACCTGTTTTCTTCTCTATAACTTTTGTTTGTTAGTCTAAGTAAGACTTGAAATGTTTCTGTTGGAGATTTTCTTATGATGTTTGCGAATTAGTCATGTTGCTAGTATGAGTACTAAATTGTTACTTTTAACAGCAGTGTTAAATTTTATAGGATTGTCGCCGCACTATTCACTGCCTTGAGTTATCGAATAGTGAGTGCTGCAAAACCTATCGTTATTTAAAGTTAGGTTAAATGTATGTTTCACCAGTCCAGTTAAATTAACAATTTGACATTTAAATTAGCGAGAAACATACTCCTTTAGCGCTTTTTACCCTAAAACGTTATCATGGAAAAAGTTTCTTTTTTAATCAAAACAGCTTTTCACAACCTGACAAAGTTTCTGAGAAGAATTGTTCGTAATTGAAAGGGATTAAACTTCTCACAAAAATAGCCCGTTTTCGGTCAAACCGGTCCCCCCTCACCCTACTTTCTCCAATATTAAAACTCCAGAATCTTCTTAACGTCCTAAAACAGGAAAACCCCCAACCCTCACCCTTATCTTTACATCCGACACGAAACCCATTCGCTAAATTCTCGCTCAATTATCCAAACAGTTGCAAATCTTGGTAAAATTGCGCCACCCGCAAGTCTGATAATTAAATTCGGCACTCTCTTCCGTCCACGACGTCAAATTAAATTAAACTTGGAATGGAGCTTTCAGGTGAAAGCTCGATAAAGCTCCCAAACATTATTACGTGCAGCCTATAAAAATGTAATCTCCCAGTGTAATTCCGCCATAAATTACCACGCGGCTTAATTTATGTAAAAAAATTAAATACTTAATCCTAGTTCCAAGAATATAACGACTCGTGCCACATAAATAACCAGGCACGGAACTTGATCAAATCAAACATTTTTAAAAATTTAATCGTTTTAAATATTCTCCACTTTTATCGTTTGCCCAAAGAAGTTGACGTTTTTTCGGCAGCGTCCGTTACCTCTATTAATAAACAACAACATGCAAGCGGAATTTTACAGTAGCCGCTCCGGATGTACGCAAAAGCTCCGTAGATGTCTGGGTCCGGGAGCACGAACGTGCCCGGAATTGACCGCAAATGCACGATCGAGCCAATCAATAATGTTTTATTTCAGGTTCGATCCGGACCTGGTCCCGACCTAATTCTGGAAGACAGTTTAGGCAAAGGCGGGGCGAAAAAATCGATTTCGAGGGGTGCGAGGGCCACGGGGTGGGATTTTGAAAGAGCGCTGAAAGTTGGGAAAATTTGACGAAATCGCAGCAAAAAGTTACACCGGATGATGCAACATTTAATAAAAGCTGTCACGGAAAAAAGTTAACACGAAGCTCTTACGTAAAAAACAGATAATGAAACGAGAAAAAACTTGGGTTTTTATACTGAAGTTTCATAATCTCCAACAGTTTTTTATTTATGTATATAAAATTTTTGATTTTTTTTTAATTATAGGCTCTAGTTAATCTGCGTTTTGGATTCAACAGGTGAGCTAATTAAATGATTTGTAGAATATACAATCTCATAACATAAATTAAAAACTAATTCAAAGTATGACAGTTTGATGCTAAAGGATTTACATTATGTTATGTCCATTTTCGGTTATATGCGAGCAATATTTATCAAAGAAAGAATAAAACAATTTTTGTTTTATCTTTGCTGCAACACTATATTTATTTGACAGTGGATTTTAGGAATTAGGAATTTATGGATCATTTATCGTAATTTGAAAACGAATTATGACGTCATTAAATTATTTATATTTTATTTTTCTGTTTTAGTTTTCTCATTTATTTCTTTCAACAAGTGTACTTATGAGACTTTAAAATCTGGAGAGTTCTTTACAGTTCGTCATCTAAATTTTAATAATCATATCGTGGCTTAATGTAGTGGTATATTTTTTATAAGATAAAATTAATTAAACTTTAAAAAAAAAGCGACAAAAAAATTAAACTTTATTTCACAAAATGCCTTCACACTATCTTTTATACTAATCTTTTCTTTTCTCTTCTCTTTGTTATGTTTTTTATTTTTCTCAATTTTCCTGTATTTGTTTTTTCTTCTTTAGTTTGATTTTTAACGGTTCTTGTTTTATGTGCTTGGTCTTTCTCATTTTCAATATTTCAGTATCTATTCTTCTAATACAAGAACTAAGTCTAACTTACAGTCCCATATACCATTCTCTATGGTGTTTTTTCTAAGGCTGGTCTTCTTACAGTTATTCAAATTTTTTCACTGTCATACATATTCTTTCATTCCCGTTTGTTTTTTTTTTCGGTACTCTTGATTTCTTTGATTACTCCTTCAGATATCTTTTACACCATCTTTTTTACTTCCCGAGCGTAAGCAAAGAAAGTATTGTAATCGAGTTCGTCGGCCGACTCTCAATTTTTTATTTTCTCGACTTTTCATGAACCCTAGAAGACGAAGAGATAGGTCTCCCGTTTCCGCGTGTCTGTCCGTCTGTCTGCCGTCCCGGATTTTTTGCTTCTGTTTCTAATTGTTTTTCTTTGCCAGTATCGCGCATTTTTTCTGTACAACTGTCTCGTTTTTTCTTGCTTCATTTTTTTATTCCTCCTATTTGTATTGTTCCTTATTTTTTTCCCATTTTTCAAGTCCGCTGTTTTTTCATAGTCACTTTTCTCTTATTATTTTCCTTTATGTTGTATTTCTCGTATCTCCTTTTCGTTGGAATTTTTCTTCTTTATTTTTGTAAAATTATATATAATTTTTTTCATTTTTTCTTCTTCATCTGTTTATTTTTTATTTTATTTGTTCTTTTATCAATTTATTTACAGATATAGACGTGTAGACACTCGTCCTTTGCCTCGATTTTCCTTTCTCGATTATTTCTTTTTCCGTTTAGTTTACCTACTCTTTATCAACTTTGTTCTTACTTTCTCGCTTCCTTCATTTCATCACCTACATTTCTCAGTTTTTGTGCATCTAATTACTGCCAATTTCTCTCATTTAATAGGGTTATTTTAAGGAAGATTTAATAACTTTTTTCGAAGTTTCACAGCCTATAGAATACAAAAGTGTGGGTTTCCCATTCTCAGTCATAATTTAGATAATCTTCGAAACAAGAAAAATATGACTTTGAAATTTCAAATTACTTTAAAAGTAGTAAAAATTTATAACAAGTGATTTTTTCATTTAAGTTGTCAACACAGTATGGCATGAGGGAAAAACAGTTCTTTTGTGTTCGATTTTTTCAAATCACATATAGTTTGCTTCTCCCACACGAACATGTTACAGATAAAATTATTAAAGGTATCACAGATGGAAGGTAAAGTGCTACATATGGTATCGTTTGTAACCTATGAATAATTTTACTCTTCAGTTTCCCCACTTTCATTTATCGACTCGATTCCACAAAAGTCAGTTTTCGGTAATTCCGGTTAGCTCCTTTTGAAAGTCAAATGTTCAAAATTATAAAATTTTAACATCCCGGGGAAGTTTTCGGGTCGAGTGTCACTCTCCACGTAGTCATGAGGTTTCATTCAAAGGTTCGGTGTTTCTGCTTTCATTATTTAATCGTTAATTTTTAAAACTATAACATCCTAATTGTATGCATGTTTGAAAATACGCGTGTGTTTACTGTACGAAAACGATCGATTCAACATTTTTTGATCCTCGCGAATCACCCTCATTACTATTATTATTATTCAACTCAAAACTGCTTTCTCCTGAAAGCTCCCCGTTTCAGGACGAACTCGGACGAAGCGCCGACTCTTGAACGCCTCAACATACGCCAGTTCAGTCCTCAGAAAACTACCGAACGCAGCGCGCCTTAAAATACCCACGTCTACTAAAGTCGAAAATCGCTTGAAACACATGACCGTCGATCGATCCATCCGCCAAAACATGGGTTAAGACTCTTACACATTCCGACACATCAACAAAAAGAAAAAAAGGACATAAACCGACTCACGCAAAAAAATCAAATAAAGGTGATCGCTGTGCGAAAATTCGAAACTTCACCAACAAAAAAAAAAGTAGTGTGGTTCCAAAGACTCTAAAAACGCTGTAGCAAATTATAAAAGGAAAAAAAATAATCAGTGCGTTCAAAAAGTAGCAACTCGTGTCTAGTGCTAGCCCGGACTCGTCGCCATGGCCACCAAGACTCCGGAGATGGCCCGGAACGGGCACGAACTGGCGCCGCTCAACACCCGGAACGGCCCGGAGGGCGGCAAGCCCGGAGTCACCATCGTGCTGCAGGGACCCCGTGGCTCCATCATCTCCAGGGGTAGCGCTCCGGTGGATCAGGACCCGGACCGGGCGGCCTGGTCCGGGAAGATGCAGTTCTTCTTGTCAATTATCGGGTACTCCGTGGGCTTGGGGAATATCTGGAGGTTTCCCTACCTGTGTCAGAAAAACGGCGGAGGTGAGTCACGTGTTGGGGGTTTTCTGGATGTGGTTGCATAACGGGTCGATTGTTTGAAGGTCGCTCGATTCATGGGGATGAATTAAAGGGGGTGGAAGGTGGTCTAGCGTGCCGGGGACGGGGGATCTTTCTGAAGGCTGTTTTTCCTGTGGAAACGATGCCGGTTTGTTTGCTCGGGTTTGTTGGTAAACAGGTATAAGTTACATAATGGGTATCGTTTCAACGAATTCAGCATTGAATGATATGAGTAAATAAATCTTGTTATATAAGTTTTTTAGCATTTTACTTAGCAGGTAAGACTAGAGGGAAATCGTTTAGGAAATAAAGAGAGAATGTTAATAGGGTCAGGATCGTATCAGTAAAAATTTTGTGTAGATACTATTAAATTTGATTTTTTGCTCAAATTGTTCATAAAATTTTGTGAATACTCTACTATATTAATTGATCTGAAAAACATATAATAACCGTTATAAAGCTCTATGATTCCAAAACGTGTATAAACACAAATAAACAAATTAATTTAATTAAAACAAGCATTCGTGCTTAAATTAATTAAGTAGTAAGTTATATTTGAACAGCTTTTGATACACATCCTGCTACACCTACGCGAAATCGATGATATTAATTAAAAGGAATTTATAATTTAAGTTGACATTTAAACAGGGCGATATGGTGCCCAAACACTGCTGAATCAATACGCTGAGAAAATTAAGTCATGTGGACCTGTGATTTTGTTTTCCAAGTTAATCGAGATATTACGTGAGCATGTGGTTAAAGCTAGTTTTAACAACAAGTTTAGTACATAAAAAACGAGCGAACGATTATTTATAATTTTCCATAATAGTAATTCTAAGGTACATAATGCTTTTTTCATGTGGCATGTTTGTCACATGTGCATGTGTATAATGGACTTACACTTTCTAAAACGTCAAAAATTGAACAATGATCATTCATTAGTATAATTTTCTAAGAAATTGTTCAAAAATTTAGTTGGTTCAAACTAGTACCATGACGTACCAGTGTTATATTAAAAATTTGGTCCAAGGTTATTTACACGGAACTTCCCTCGCCCCTGAATACAACATACCTATACAGATTTTCCAAAAATTAGAAAATTTGATTTTATGAATTTTATTTTTTATGGTACCCTCTGTATGTTAAAATAATATGTGTGTACTGATAAAGTAAAGGAAAAAAATTGGTTAAAAGTAATTTCGACAGAACTAGCTTTTTAGAACAACTATAAAATTTGATTTTACGAATTTTATTTTTTTTATGAGACTCGTTATGTATGTCCAAATGAGTTTTCCCTTAACAATATTTGTGATGACGTCATCAACATTTTTGCAAAGGCACGTATATCATTTTGGATAGGTACAGTGTAGTACTAATGATAACAGTATTGTATTCCCAAATTTTCAGGAAAACGGAGTGAGCCGTTCCCGATTTAATCAATAAAATAAATTGACTCATCCATTAATCTTTATGAGTCACCCTGTATAAGAAATTTAAAAGCTTTTAATGCAATGATAAATCACAAGTATAGACTCATCATATTTTGCACATTTTATTTACATAGGATTTATTCGTCAAAATTTCGAAACGACGTCATGAATTTTTTGGGAGGGCATGAATGAATCAATTTTGCCTTATGATTTACCACCGTTAACCTTAAAATATTTACAAGAATTCGGAGCAATCGGTTTTGCAACTTCAAAGTTAAATTGCAAAATATTGTTATTCAGTTTTAAATTTTTCCAAAAATTCTGGACGTCTAGGGGGAAAATTCGAGGCGGATTCACACACCACAAGTGCAGGAGTATCTTGTTTTATGGAATAAAAAAACCTTTTTATTATAATATTAATAATATTTTGGACATAACGTCATCCCATTGGTGGTGGGGATAATTAGCGAATTTTCAGTTAGCGTTTAACTATCTACATGATATTCCTAATACACCTACAAAATGTGAGAACAATAAGTCCAGTAGTTTCAGAGATTACTTGTTTAATAAAAATGGATACAGACATCAGACAGACAGACAGACGGAAATAGGAGACCACTTTTTTCGTATTCTAGAGGTCATGACACGTCGAGAAAATATGAAAGTGGCAATTAGGCCGATGGACTCGATTACTATACTTCTTTAGCTTACGCTCGGGAACTCAAAAAAACATGCTATACGTGTTTCAAGCTGATTTTTCCATACAAAATTTTATGATATTGTCAATCTTTTAATTTTCTGAAAAACGGGATGATCTGTTTTTGAATTGATCAATAATATAAATTGTCTCATTCATTAATATTTTTGGGTTACCCTGTACAACAATTTTCAAAAACTATGAATTTTAAACTTTAATATTTTACACATTTTAGACAAGATTTATTCGGCAAAATTTTAAGATGATGTCATCGATTTGTGGGAGGATAAACGCACTCGTATAAATTTTGACTAACGATTTACTATACGTACGATAAGCTTAAAACGTTTGCAAGATTCCAGAGGCTATTTTATTGAAAACTTCTGGTTTTGAAAAAGTTGGTTTTTTTTTCAAAAAATATAGAATTTTATGATCCTGGGGTAAAGATTTTAATAATAATACAAGATAATCGATTTGATATTTTTAAAAGATTCATATTTCGATGGGGGATTCTGGAAAAATAATAGAAGTTATCGAAGAAATGAAACCTAAAGTAACTTCTAAAGGTCAAAATGTACAAGAAAATGTCTTTAGTTAAATTTCGAACGAAACACTTTCTGAAAAATTTTGGTTTTGAAAAAGTTATCTAAAAATCCATAAAAGCTTCTGGAATGTAGATTTCGACGTGTTAATTCTAAAAATACAGCATCTTTATGGTACCAGGGTAAGGTTTTAGAAATATCCGTTTTGAAAAGCAGTTTTTTTTTTAAATAAAAGAGATAAAATCGAAAGTAACTGCTGGATGTCGCAACGTACAAATTAAATTTTGAGGTGGTCGAAAAAGTCCGAAAATTTCATTTACTGAAAAACTTTGATCTTGGAAAAGTTGTAAAATACACAAAAAAATTTGGAATATAGATTTCGACGTGCTAATTCCAAAAATAAACCGATTTTATTATATTTTTAATTAAAAAAACTGTCATATTTCGAATCTAGAAAAACTGTAGTAATTGAAGAAATGGGGCCGAATTAATTTCTGGAGGTCGAAATGTTGAAGAAAATATTTTCAGTTTTAGTCAGCCAGAAATGGGAGACTTATTGTTTGACACTGTAGGGATCATGAAACGTCGAAACAACATGAATACAATACTTACCTTAGCTTCCGTTCGGAAAGTAAAAATCAGTCTATCGTGTATGACTTCGTTGTGAAAAAAATGACGATCATGTCATGATTACACTTTTTAAATGCGTTTTAACGCGGCAGCTATCATAATAGGCGTCGATATGTAGATATTGAAGAAGGAATTGGAATGTTGTGAATAATAATTTCGATGAAATGCAATTATCGGATACTAGTGAATAATAAAAAAAGCTTTTTATCATCAATCACACATATACGTAATTATCAAAACAGAAAAAATTCGATTTCTACGTATTTATTTCAGGATCAGTGTATGATAATGAAGAAGATTAAAACTTTGAGAATTATTTAGAATAATTTTTCACCAATTTTAACACAATTTCAGTATTTTTTGTAGCCAGCGCGATGCAAAACATTTGTTGTCATTAGTGTTATACTGTATCTATCAAAATTGAGAGATTTATCCCCATTAAAAAAATTGGCTGCATTGTGAGAGACGTTTTGCCTAGACAATTTTAAACTTTTTTTTTCAATAGGTCGGTTTAATTGGGCCTTTATGGTTTTGTGACACATTTTATTTCAGTTTTATTAAGAATTCATTCGTAAATTTATGAATTTTATCATAATATTTATAAAAATAATTTACAAAGTGTTAGAGTCTGTCAGCGATTTCTGAAATTTATACATACATTTATAATTCATTATCAAAACAAAAGTTTTTACGTTTCTTTTCCTGTTTGTTATTAACAAAAGCCAGTACGTTTACTATTGCGGTTATCGACTTGGCGATAATTTAGTTTAATTCATTTTATTAAAAGATTACTTTGAAGAACATATGATTTCAATAAAATTAAACTGGTTAAAAAAATAAACACCTCATGTGCACGAAGATATCCGTGAGAGAAAATATCCCATCAATTACACTGAACCTGGATATAAATGTATCCTCCAAAAATATTATTACATTGGACCAATGTGAATTTCGTATTTGAACTTCCTGTTTCGGGAAAATTTGGTCGTCTAGAATTAAAAATAAAAACTTTGTTATGTTTTTGAGAACAGAATTTTCATTTATTTTATTTACGTGGAGTGTATATAAAAATCGTATAAAACAGTGTCTCTCACATGCGCGCCACTTCATATTGAAATGTATAAACAACTGCCGTCAGTCACTAAAACAGACTGTCTTTTCACTCAAGAAAATTTGGAAATGACGTCCGGACTCTACCAATAAGTAGATGTTAAACGTGGAAACGGGTACTTATTGAACGAAATTCTTGGAAATGATACAAGGTAATGAAGTTAGCCACGAAACCCACCTCAGCCAAGTTTGCGCCAAAACCCCAGCACTCTTTTTAAACAATCGATATCAGATTACCGCAGCACATCGCCATAAAGCCGCCGTAATTCTAACCGTCTACTCTCCTCCACCATTTCTTCAATATTACATGCAAAAAGCCGTTCGTCGACCTGGAACAAAAATGGCCAAAATTCTTCCATTGCCGCTAGTCCAGGTGTGCGTCTTTTTGTTTGACCCCTCGTCTTCAACGGCGATCTCGACCTTGCTCGAATTAAACGGCGTTGTGATCATTTCACCGCAGTTAAATCGTTCTTTCACAATTAAATATCAACATATATAATATAAGTATTATATAACGATCGATAAAAGACCCTGTAGTTACTCGTAATTTTGTCACTAAAACATATATCGTCTTTT